CCCCAAAACCCCAAAACCCCAAAACCCCAAAACCCCAAAACCCCTTTACTATAAATTTTCTTGCAAAGGAAAATAATAAAGAGCTATAATGAAGCTATATCTTTTCCTGATATTCCTAATAGCTGCAAATGCAGCCATTCCTGAAACAGCAGAGTATGAAAATCCACTACACTTCTTCTTTTACGGTCTCTGGTATGTTGCTACTGGATTTGTCAAAGACTTGATCACCTGGAATAGAAAAACTCCTATTGATGCCAAAAAGACTATCGCAGAGATAATAATGACGGCTGGGTACCAGTTTGAGACTCATAAAATTATCACTCAAGATCGTTATATCAATACTGCATGGAGAATTACAGGAAAGTTAGACGAAAGCTTAGAGGATCCTCATCCTGAAGAAAGGCCTTGCGTCATCTTGCAACATGGTTTACTAGATAATAGTGCAACTTGGATGATTCCAGAGAGAAGCGTGGCGTTACCATTTAGACTTGCTGAATTAGGCTATGACGTTTGGATGACAAATTCCAGAGGAAATATAAACTCCTTCGAGCATCTTGACAGTGAAACTCATAGTATCTTTGATACCTCTAGTGATTACTATAAGTTTAGTTATGATGATATGGCAAGATATGATGTCCCTGCCAACCTTGATTATGTCTTGAAACATTCAAATTTCGATAAGGCATTTTATGTTGGCCATTCTCAAGGAACAACTCAATTCTTTGCAGCTGCAGGTATTCATGAGGATCTTAAGGATAAAATTAGTGGCTTTATAGGCCTTGCTCCTGTAATGCATATCGGGAATATCTATGACCCATTCCTGACTCTTCTTAATGCTTCTCATCTTGACTCACTCTTGAGATGGTTAAAACAATATAACTTCCTTATTATTCCTCAGTTTATAAGTCCTATTATCAGATTTGCTACAGTCAGATTTAGAAACACCTTCTGGAGAGTCTTAAGTTTATTCTTTGGCATCGACAAGCATATCAGTGTCGATCTTGACAGAATGCCTGTTGTAGCCAATCATGAACCTGGAGGCACTTCGTTATGGAACATGATCCATTGGAAGCAAAGCTTTGTATCTGGAGAATTTAAAGCAATGGACTGGGGAAAGCAAGAAAACATGATCAGATATGGCCAAGAAACCCCTCCTTTCTATAAGCACGAAGATATTAAAGAGACTTTTGATCATTTCCCATCGCTTCTTATAGCAGGAGCAAATGACGCACTTGTTCCTCCAAAGGATTTAGTGACGCTTCAGTCGGTTCTTTCCCCAACTGGTACAGAAATTATTGTTATCGACGATTATGCTCATGGAGATCTAATCTGGGCAAAGGATATCAAGCAAACAACATTTGATCCTCTAGTTGAGTTTATTACAAAGCACACACCTCCTTCGGAAAGTTCCTAACCTTTTCTAATCTTCAACGTCACTTCATTATAAAGGGGTTTTGGGGTTTTGGGGTTTTGGGGTTTTGGGGTTTTGGGG